AAAAAAGAAAAAAAAAAAGATTTAAACCACTATACCAATATCATTTAATTGCTGGTAATCACTGACCAGCAGACAGTACAAGATTATCACAGATTATCTTCTTGCAAAAGCCTCAAATGCAGGTATTCTGGGTTGCTACAGGTAGATCTGCCTTCTGTGCAAATTTAATGTGTCTGAGGCAAGGGAGATGAGCCCTATTATCAAGCACATCTACATCTATCAGAAACACCCTCCCGGGAGTATATCACTTTGTTAGGACTGACTGTCATGATGGAAAAGCTACAATACGGTTCTCAGGACAGTCAAGGTTCCTAGGTCCTAATTCCAGACTCCCCTGATTTGCTATTTGGAAAAGATCCTCAAGTTCACAGCAGAACTCAGTTTCTCAACTCAATAAAAAATAGTGCTGCACAAGAAGAGCTGCCAGTACATAAAGACTTCAAAGCCCTTTGAAATTAGGACAGTAGGGACCAAACAACATTAGCATTGGGCATAGATCACTATTCTAGCTGTCAGTTGGCCAGGTTCCTGAGAGGAAGATATGGAAATATATGACTTGTGACTCAGTGATTTGGATACTCCCCCCACTTGTTTAAATGCCAAAATTGACTAACAAGTTTGGGAACTTAAATTGGAGAGTGAACATTTTAAATCAGAAACTCACCGGTCTAAATATATTCAACTTCCCTACTACTTGGATACAAGAGATTCTTGAGTGAATCTCACTGAAATTTACATTAATATACATGGGCTATAGAAATCACAATCTCCTCCTCAGATACAAAATAACCATTTTTAGGGGCCATATGAGAGACTCCAATAGGTATATCCATCTCATCACAATGGAGACAATTTCAGAATCCTTTTGTATTAATATGTTGTCTCATAGGTCACTGGGCTGCATGTTGAACTGAAAAATGGCTAGCAGGGCCAGGTACACAGTAGATACATAAATATTTGTAGACTGAATGAGGAATCAAATCAAAGAATCAAAATGACTTTTTTTTTTTTTTTTTTTTGAGACAGAGTCTCGCTCTGTCGCCCAGGCTGGAGTGCAGTGGCCTGATCTCAGCTCACTGCAAGCTCCGCCTCCCGGGTTCACGCCATTCTCCTGCCTCAGCCTCCCGAGTAGCTGGGACCACAGGCGCCCGCCAGCTCGCCCGGCTAGTTTTTTTTTTTTTTGTATTTTTTTAGTAGAGACGGGGGTTTCACTGTGTTAGCCAGGATGGTCTCGATCTCCTGACCTTGTGATCCACCCGTCTCGGCCTCCCAAAGTGCTGGGATTACAGGCTTGAGCCACCGCGCCCGGCCCTCAAAATGACTTTAAATAAAGCAAGGAGTTAACTTGCCATCCATTGCTCAACCCGCTTTGACACTAGAACAAGCCCTCCAAGCAAAACAGACAGCTGTGATCTGGACATATGATGCAATGCAGGCAGCAAACGTTCACTCTGGACAAATCCATGTCCAAATATGACACTTAATACTAACCCAGAAGGGAAACAGAAGCACTGCCCTTTCTACCCTTCCATTCATTCTTCCAACAGTGTTTCACCTGTGCCACGTACCAAGCTGTTTGCTAGGCTATGGGGAGTCAAAGATCAATAAACCCATGCATCGTGCCTCATCACAACTTAGAGGTGGGAACAGAAAAGAAAACAAACAGCCCTGCAGGTGATAAGAGCTATATAGACTAAAGCCCAAAGCATCAGGGGCGACAAGTTCAGGGGTGTTTATGGCCATAGGGTCATTTTCAAGTACCACGTTGTCCTGTCCTCTCAAATTGCTCTAATCAAAAGTTGGCTGAGACACTGGATATTTGGGAAAATTAGCTTACAGAGTGTGGTAACCACTCATTCCTCTAGGTTTCCTGAGCTTTATTTCTGCATTGGGATTCGTCACCAGAATCTCCACTGACAGGCCATAGTAGCTCAGGTCCCCAACAACAAACGTTCTGGGTTACTTTTCATCATTATGTCTTCTGCATTTTTTTTTCCATTCCAGAGCTGGTAAAAGACAGGACCATATAAAGAACCTGACTTTATTTTATGTAGAATTGAATTTCAAGTATTATCCATGATATAATTCGATATTTCATGAGTATATACTAGTTGGCAAGCACCATGGCAAGCACTCTACATGTGTCATCCTTACAAGTTTAATGCATGCCACCTCCAGACCCCCTTTTCTCTGTTAACTTGGCTACTACTAAGAAGCTCAGAGCCAAATTAAATACTCTAAAGCAGTAAGCACTTAGGATTGTAGTTTAATTATCTTCCCTCCTCTACAAGATTATGATCTTTCTTCCCCTCCCATTCTTAACAGTCTTATTTTGTGAAATTGTTACTATGCATTTACTCAGACACACTTATGAACGTTGATACTTTAGACACAAAAACAAATCACCATAATCTTCAATTATAATTTCCTTTTGCTTTCAATTGGCAAGAACTTCCGTGAATAACTAATTTGAAGATAACTCCTTTGATATTATGCTCTGGTCACTTGAAAACTCAGATAACGCAGTATTTCCCACGATCATTTGGTTCAGAATACTTTTATTGAAGCGACAAAAGGGGCCAAAAAGAGGCTGACTTAACTAATAACATACGATAACTATCAGGTTATTTTCAAATCTATCACCAAGGCCTATTTATTTCTATCTTGTGTTGGATCCTGACCATTGCATTTTGCCCCCTCACCAACCACCATTTTTGCAGCCCAAATTGTACCAGCATGCACTGGTCGGTCCACTTAGGGCTGCCATTGTCAGAGGCACTGCCAGGACCTGCTGAATGAGAGGACACTGCTATCACCCAGTGAAGTCTAGTCCCTGGAATTTCACTCTCAGCACTGGCAATGCTTCTGGAACTCATAAAGAGTCTGCCGAAATTCAGGGAGTTGAAGGTCAATGTCTTCCGGGGATCAAGGTAACATGTCAGAAAAATTCTGCTGCTGAGGATTTCCATGTATTCAAGGCAAATGTCCTTAGGAGGAACTCACAGAAATAACTCTTTGCATTGTCACTACACAGAATGGAAGGCCAGCTTTTATTTCAAAAAGAAAGAGAGAGAGAGAAAAATAAAGAGTGAACCATAAAAGCATGGCATGTGTGCAACACACACATACACACACACACAAAATAGATCTTGGCATGCCCAACTGGCACCCACTTAGGATGCGTAGTCAGGCGTTTTTGAGAGCATAATATTTGGGCACAATCATTCATTTATTCACCAAAGATTTATCCAGCACCTACTGCGTGCCAAGTATTGTTCTAGATGCTGGAAAATAAGAGTGAGTGAGGCAGTCAAGAGTTCTGTGCTCATGGATTCTATATTCTAGGCAAGGAGACAGGTGATCAGCAAGCATCAATTGAAATGAACAACTGAAACTGCAAATGCAATCAAGGAAAGAAAAAGAAAAACAAAACAAACAAACAGAAATACCAGTGTGATGGGTCTGAAAAGGAATGAGGGACCGCCTTTGCTCAAGTGGTCAGCGAAGGGCTTTCTAAGAAGGTGACACATAATCTTACACTAGAATGAGAAGACCGACTGAAGAAACCAATCACCTTTACTCTGATTTCCATCAAAAAGATGGGCTTACTAAAAAAAGAAACATGCAATACCATTTGTGGCTCCGCACAACTCATACTTTAAACAACAGCAAAAAAAAAAAAAAAAAAAAAGGAAAGGAAGGGAATCCACAACTTTCTGTGCTCTTAAGGCAATTTTAAGAAATCATCTTTCCCAAAGATAATGGATTAAAAAGAAGTTGTCTTAATTCATCTCTAATTATGGCAGAATTTACTATGAAGAAACTGAAATGAGAGACATGGAATATTCACTCCTCTTCGTAATGTCAGTTGCTTTATGTAACAATATTCCAATGTCAATAAAGTATACCTTTGCATTACAATGCCAACAGGAATTATTCCACTTTAAGAAAACAGTTCTGTAGCTATACTCAGTATTATTTACATTCACCAGCTATAAAATAAACCCAAATTGTATTTACTAGCAGATGGTCTCATTTCCAATATATAATAAACCTCTGAGATTAGGTAAAAATAGATTCTATATTTCTTTAACATGCACAAATAATAAATGAACGTTCGCCAATGTCTTTGTATAAAATACTCCAAACAAATCACTTGGTACTGAATTTCTGCTTGTCTCAATTAAAACACTTAGCCACCTGGCATGAAACATCCTAAAAACATCAACTGCTTAAAATACTTTGCACTGAAACACGTTTTTCATTGTTTCCTAGCCTCTGACTGATTTCAGAATTAGAAAGAATTAAGCAGAAGTGAATTGGGGAGCAGGTCAGTCACTGAATACTCAGAATGAATCATGAACGCGTATACTAAAATGCAATTCTTACTTCTTTGCAGTGCAGTGCATGCTATACATTCTTACAATTTAAATAAGCATGCTAAACTAAGGCCAAATAATGTGACGATTGCCCAATAGGTCTACATTACCTAATACATTTATCATTATGTAAACTGCTGTGCTTGATATTAATACACTGTGCAAGAAATGCTTAATTTCTTGAACTTCCAAACAGGTCTTTAAACCTGAATCTCACTAGTACCCAAGACCAATAACGTGCTGAGGAAGAACGTATTTCAAGTATATTTACTGATTACACAGTGTTTGAATCTTCAAAAATTCTAAATTTATGTGGAGAAAGGAGAACGGAGAATCTGAACTTGGCTGTTCAGGCAAACTCTTTCCTTTCTTTGCTTCACTTTATGAATTGTTATGCTTCTAGATCCTTCTTTTAAAATTTTCCATTTGGGGAAACTTGTACATTTAACCTTAAAAAAAAACAAAACAAAACAAAAAAACCTCATCTCATTTCCTCCCTCCCCCTCCTTAAAATAAATAAGAAGGCTTAAGAATTAGCACTAATAATAATCCCACAATGGTCATTGGGAAATCCTCCCCCAAAGTGACAACTGCCGCTAAGAAGGGCAAAATCCACTAAGAATGAAAATTCCCGCAAATAAGTCCTTCTCTGAGGGGGTGGAGGTCACACAGCTGGCACAGCTGGTATCACAACCAACTCGAGGCGACCCAGAGGAAGATGCTGCGCCAAGAGAAGCAAAGCGAAGGAGCGCGACCCAGGAGGCTAGCGAAATCCCCGCCGAGTCCCCAGGAGGCGGAGAGAAGCCCAGTCGCCAGGCACCGGCCACAGCGCACGCCAACATTCAGGATAATTCTCCTTTCCAAGCCCCGGAGTTCCGGGGCAGGCGAAAAAGGGGGGATGGGAGACCCACAGTCCCTTTAACCCTCCCCCCCGGTCTGCCAACCTTTTCCGAACCCCCATGTCACACAACTTCCTCATCATGGAAACTTCCACTGGGTTCGGCGCTGAGGATGCCAAACTCCATTTCACAAGGAACATGTCAACAGCTGGGCTTGGGGTTTGAGGAACAGAGCCGCTGCGACTGGAACAGAGCCCGGCCACCCTGTTCCACCACTGTCCAAGCCGTAGCTCCCAGCCTGCCGCCGCGCGGTGCCCGAACACGAGAGGGCACCTCCTCCCAGATCCGGGGCGCAGAAGCCCAGCGGAGGCAGGTAATCAGGCTGATGACACCCCCACCACCCACGCCCGCCCGCCCGCCCGCCCGCGCGCGCCCGGCTTAGCCGCCCGCACCCCTCCGGGTTCTTGCGACACTCCGTCACCATCCCGCCCACCCTGTGGACAGTTGGAACTGTCGCCCCCTCCTCCCCTCACCCCGCTGCCTCCGCGCGGTCCTCTAGCCAAATTACCAGTGCCCTGAAGCCGGTTGGGTTGAGCGCCCCTGCCCGGGGAAGGTAGCCTGCGGGCTCTTGCCCCGAGCCCGCGGAGCAGGAGGTCTCTTTTCCAAGCGCACTCACATTATTCATGCAAAGTTAATCCCCGCCGCGTCACGGCCGCCCGCCCGAGGATGTGCGCCTTCCTTGGCCAAGCCCCGCAGTCTCCACCCTCCTCCGCCCCCTCCTCCCGGCGGCGGGGTCCCGGGGAGCGCCGGCGACTGGGCGTCGCGCGAGTCCTGCAAAATGTCAACTCCTTGGGCGAAGAGAGGCGGCCGCAGCCAGGGCCGCGCCGCGCCTCCCGGGTCCCTCCACTTTTATAGGCGTAGGAAGCGAGTGTGTCTGGGGCACCAGAGTCCCCGCCTCTCCGGGTCCCCCGCGTGCCCGGCCCTCCCCGGCCCGCTCCCCGGACGCTGTCTTACTCCGGGCCCGGGGCGCCTGCTCCGCGCCGCGTCTGCGAACCGGTGACCTGGTTTCCCCTGAAGCCCTCACGGCTGTCCGACTCGCGCGGCTGTGGCGGCGGCGGCCAAGAGCAGGCAAACCCGGCTCCGCCAGGGGCGCAGCGAGGAAATGGCCTCCTGGCCGCACACCCCGCCGCCGCCGCCGCCGCCGCCACCGCCCCGGGCTGCCCAGCCGGTACTGACTGCCCCTGCCAGGCTCCGGGCCGGCGCTCCGACGCGCTCACAGCGCCCGGCTTGCCGACCCCGACCCCGGGCCCTACGCACTCGCTGTCCCCGGGCCGGCCGCCTCCGCACCTGCCTCCCCAGGTGTGGGCGCTCCCCCTCGTCCTAATCCCGGCCGTGCCTTCCCAGGGGTGGTGACCGTGCTGTGGGTTTGGTGGCTGCGCGTCCACCCAGCCGATTGCCTGCGCGCATAGGTGCGGGTTTGGGCGTCGTTACTCTAGTTGGAGAGGAGGAAAGAATGGGGAACGAGTGACACCGGGACCGGAGGGCGAGTCTTCCAGGAGCACGCCCTGGCCTTCTTTGCCCGGCCCGACCGGCGCGACCCGTGCCGCCGCGCTCCTCCCTCCGCTCCCAAACCACTTGTGGCGCGTGTCGGGAGGACAGGGCGATCTGGCTCCTCCTGGGGCCTCCGCTGGTCGGGCCATCTGGCGGCTCTCTTACCACCACCGCCACCCCAAGAATGGAAGTTTGGGACATGCGTGGCTTGCCCTTAAGGAGGACACCCCCGCCCCCACCGCCATTATGCATATCATGGGAGAGGTGCGTACAGGGCTCAGACACTCCGCAGGTCCCAGAAGGGCTGCCCTATTAATTTGTCTTTGCCCTGGAAATGTGCAGATAAAACCAAGAAGACAAAGATAATGTATACTCTTCAAGAGATCTTTCCCGGGCAAATATAGGTCTCTCAAATGCCCCAACCTTAAGTCCTGGCGACCAGGAAAAGACTTGCTTTCTGAGCTAGAAGGATACTTGGGAAATACCGAGTCCTCAGACAGCTAAAATGTAGTCAATAAGGAACAATAGTTGCAACAAAACTACTTTGACAACAGAGTACCATTAATTTCTTAGAGAAAATATTAAAATAATTCCGACATCATAATTTAATATTCACATCTATTCGTGTAACACGCAGTGTTATAGAGTTATGACGATATGGATCCTCAGCGGCCTGACAATGTATAGGTTATTTATTGGAGGGTTCTCTAGATTTTCAGCCAGTGACATGTATGTTTTATTCTCGCTTCTGAGCGTGCCAGGGAAAGGGGGGAGAGGCCCCGGACCCCTGCCAACAGCATTATCAACCACCCCCCTGGATGAGCAGAGTTTCGCTGATGAACTTTTAAGAAAGTTGAGGCCCCAGAGACGCCATTTCCCTTTGGTCCTCGGTGAGAAATCCGTGCTTTCTTCTCTACTCTTAATAAGGGTGCACCATAGGACTTGCAGGCTTCTGTAGTTGGAGAGCTGTTCTCCTTTGCAGGGAAGTTCCTGGGCTTTGCTCCAAAGCTGCCCCGGAATGTTTTGGTTGGTTTGGAGAAAAGCTGTGGCGTCTACACCACTTGTTCCAAGCAGGCGGCCCCCTGGTGGCTAACTGTGGGGGAAAAAGCTGGCCACTGAGGAAGAAGTCTGGCGCAGGTAGGCCCCAACAGTTGACAGCCTAGTGTTCCGGTCTTCTTCACAGCGTGTGAACAACTTAGTATTACCGCGGGGTGAGGTGAAGCAAATCTTCCTTCAACACGGTGGATCATAGGCCTCGCGGCCTACTGGAACTTTTGATTTTTTTCTCTTCCCGAGTATAATTTGGAGCTAAATTCTTTAAGAAGGAGACATACAGAAGACAAAATGTAACAAAAACTGTTGCTTCTCTTTGTTCGAGGGCTTTGTCTTTCTGATCTCATTTTGCCTAGAAATTTCGGAAATAAAGAGCCAATTAAAGCATGAAATAAATAAAGGGTGTGGCATTATTCAAACAATTCATGAGAATATGGTGGTAACAATGTTATATAACAATGGGGGAGGGCAGTTTTACTGCAACCTAGTTGTATCATTAACATTCAACTACTAGTGTTCCATTTTGAACAGGACCTCCAGGGGCTGTCCTACAGGCTGCATGATAATGGTAAAGAAGGGTTACCAAGAGATCGTGGCATTTATTTTTCTGGTTTTATACAAGGTAGGACAATGGAGGAGAATGTCATGATGACTTGATTGAAGGAAGAACATTTATTCAAACTTGAGATTATGTGGTCATGTGTTCCAGCTGACCTGAGAGGGCACACGGAGGCTGTTTCCAGGACCCTTTCCCATATTTCACCATAGACATCCTCATTACCAGGATCTATACCTTTAAGCTGATGACTCAGTTCAAGAAAGCAATTCATTCATATATTTATTTATTTAGCAATAAATAAATAATTTTCTTACTGGGGTAAGAAAATGAATGAAACAGAACCTCACAGGGCTCGGATTGGGCAGAAGTGAGTGAGGCCAGTGGTACAAGTGCAGGATCTGAGCCTGTCTTTATTTAAAATTTTGATGTATTGTTCATCATGAATAATTGTTGCATTAATTTTGATTTTTAAAATAGTGCATTAAAATATTTCTCCTGATTTACTGAGACTTTTTTTTTCTTTTTGGCATCCCCTTAAATTTCACACCAGGGATGAGTGCCTCACTTTGCCTAAACCTAGTCCCTGCCCCGCAATGCCCTCAGTGTTACCAGTCTTTTCGGAGAAGCAAAGTTCAAGTCAGAATGTCCTAGATGTTAAAGATAATTAATATATAGTAAAGGACTTGGGATCAGAGAGTTAGAGATGTGGGCATGAGGGGAGGGAAAAATCAGGGAAGATTTCATGGGAAGTGGTGGTACTTGAACCAATTCATCAAAGATGGACCACATTTTGCCAGGGAGTATTGGGACTGGAACCCCTGGTATTGTTTTACTTATTTAGCTACTTCTCAAGCTGGCTGTGCAGCCACCTGACCTAGCCCTGGATATTCTGATTCTGTCTGTTCATTGTTAGTTCCTGGAACTTATTTTTGCTATAAGGGCCCCAGTGATTCTGGTCCATAGCAGCTGGGTAAGAACTCCAACCCTTCAGGAAAGACAGTTTCTTGGGGAAGATGATAGGGTCAAAATTATCCAATTCAAGTACACTCTAATTCACAGCACAAAACTAACTTTTTATTTCATATCTTGGTACATGCCCATTTTTATCTACACTCTGCCTTTGGCTTACTGATGAATAAGGGAGACCAGAAAGGAAAAGGAACTATAGGTTGCCCTATGTTTCTCTTTCCTTCTATGTCATCATTTTCAAACTAAGTGGTTACAGAGAAGTATTAAATAACATAAGAAAAGACAGAGAAAGTTTCCTTGATTGTTGCCTTCTTTTTGCGTTCAAATCAAGCTCTGGTTGGAATGGAAAGCATGGCAAACCCCATTTTGGGGCTGTCACTGTCCTCACTTAGTCATTGACGTGACATGCTTACCTCATACTCAATCTGAGTTTTGCAGACCTCCCACACATTGTGTGCCCACAGGGATCCTGTGCCCCTGGGGCATCAAGAATGCTATGTGTGAGTTGAAAAGTAAAGAATGGCAGCAGCTATGCGTGTTATCTGTATTTCCTCTGTTCATGCACATGCTCCATTGTCCCATCGACCTTCACTTACAAAAGTTCAAAGATAAAATTATCAGGAATTTCAATATGGTGACAACAAAGCATTAAACGAAGTGCCAGGCCCCAAGCACCAAGCCCTTTCGAGCATGGGTTGTATGCAACTGCACAGACCACATGCCCATGAAGCTGGCCATGGGGAAAGAACTTGATCCTTTATTGTGGTAGAATCCTAGGGCATGTTGGAGGTGCAGTAGACATTCTGGCATGGTTGGTTATAGCAAGGATTACATAACATAGCTAACATGTATTAAACATGTATTATGTTTCAGGTACTGTCCTAAATATTTCATATATCTTTTAAAGTTTGTCAGAGGACCCTGTGAAACAGTATTAGTATGTACTTCATTTTCCAGATGAGAAAACTTAGGAAGGATAAAACTTAGAAAGATCAAATAATCTGCTCAAGCTCAGGCCTGGGTACTGGGTGATAGAGGGTATACTCTTAATCAGCTCATCATGCTACCTGTATGCGACACAAGGAGTTATTGGACAGGCACATGAGGCTGAAAAAGGTGAGCATGTTCTGGCAGTCATGAGACGTGTCTCTAGCCCTTCCCTTAAGGAACTACTGTGCACTGGGACAATCAGAAGAGCCCTAAAGAAAACATGTATGTCACTGGCTACAAAACTCCCTAATCACATTCTCTTACCTTGTTTTCTAACTAGAGGTAGAAGATTCTGAGGCCCTGGGTGGGAACTGGTAAGCCACAACCTGGAAGAGTCTTCTATCACCATGTGGAGGAGAACTAGAGCACACATGTTGAAATATTACTGAGATTAAGTGATCAACTTCTTTTGCATTGTCACTGAAAGGCAAGTGTTAATTTGTTTCAGTAATTGGTGCTCCCTTAACACACCTGTCAGCCAGGCCAAACTCTATCACAGCATAAATAATCTTTTCCTCAAATAAATACAGGTAAAAGAATAAAATACACCTAAGTGCATTAATATGAATATAGGTTCAAAGCAAAATGTTGGGCTAAAAAATGTTCAGAATGGTAATTTTTTAAGTTGATATGTAATTTATGTACAGTAAAATAGATAAAACCTAAATGTTCAGTTCAGTGAATTTTTACATGTTCATACCCCTGTATAATCACCTCCCAGAACAAGATAGAAAATACTTCATATAAATGGAATCATACAGTGTGTTTTCTCTTATGTCTGATTTCTTTCACTCAATGTTTTTGAGGTAAATCCACATTATTGTGTGGATTAGAAAGTTGTTCTTTTAAAATTTGTTTGATATTACATTATATAAATACGCCACAACTCATTTATTCATTCTCCAATTGATGGACTTTTGGGTTATTTCCAATTTGGGACTATTATGAATGAATCAACTATCAACATTCTTGAACAATTATTTTTGTGGTACATGCACTCATATCTCCTGGGCATATGCATAGGAGTGAAATTGATTGTCATATATTTATCTGAGTTATTCTATTAAAGCTCTCTGAGGTACTAGCACAATTATGAACAACTAGAAAATGATCAGTTACCACTTGCTGACTTCTGTTCATTCTTATAGTTTTCACAAATAAAATATTCAAACTTATGTGCAGTCTAACTTGATTGAGTAAATATTCTTCAGTATCACAAATAGAAAATCCTCAAAATGATCAATATTCAAAACTACTGTTGCCTTGTGTAGCAATTACAAGCTCTGCTTGCAGCTGCAAATCATTTTTATGAACTAAGCTATGTATTAAAGCCTATGTAAAAATGAAGATGCTGATAAATTAAAGTATACCAAGAAAAAGGTGAATGGTGGAAAGGAAGGTAAGAATACCAAAACATTTCTAAATTAAATCTTACTTTTCAGCTGTTTGAAAGATAGGTTTAAGACATGCTGAGTAATTGCTAATTGGACTGTAATAACCTATGTTCATTGTGAGCACACAAAAGTACAGTACATTGTTAAATTCTTTGTCAATCACAGAATAAATCTAGTGGTTCAAGACACAGCTTCCCAAAACATGCCAATTAAGTGTCCTTCCTTTTTGAGTTATGCTTATATGCATAAAAAATGGAAATGTAATTGTTAAAACTTTGGGGAAAATATCCTTTTTTAAAGGAAAGGAATGAGGTAAATCTTACTCATTTTCATGGAATAAACTTTAATATATCTAGATATAACAACACATATAATAAAATGCTATGATTATGGGCTATTTTCAGATCCTTAAAATCCCTGAATGAGTCATATCTGAAGTGGCAGTCATAACTTCAGATTTGCTTGCCGTTGTCAGTTATTTTAAATGAAATTCTCAATTTGAGGGCAAGATGGGTCTTACTGACATCTCCTATTTTCATATATTATAGCTCTCTTTCACAAATAAACTTGCCTTATCCTGTTTACAAAGTATTGCATAAAATGCTAGTCATAGCTCCTACAAACAAACTGTAGAACATATTTTGAACTCTATAAATGATACATTTGAGGCAAACAAATCTACAGCTAGTACAAGAAAGGACTGAGTTTTCATTATGCAGATTTAGAACAAAACCCTGCACTGTAGTTATCATACCAGATAATGAATAACAATAATTTGAGTTCCAGGTTTGTGTCCTTTCTAATCATGTGATTTGAGCATGTTACTTAGCTTCTGTAAGCCTCGGTTTCCACAACTGTAGAAATGAAGAAAACCATCATACCTACCTGATAGGGATGGCATGAGGAATCTGTGGTAATAGATGGATAATGCTATGCATGGTGCCTGGCACATAGTAGGTGGCTCATTAATGTGATCCATCATTATTATTTTGGAAAAATATAATTTATGGCATTTGAAAACACAAAAATGGCAAAGGCAAAATTTTTATCTTGAAAGATACTTTTTTCCGAAATCAATTATTCAATAAATATTTACAAATATTTGTAACAATACAACTGCCTCCTACCTGGGCAGACAATTCTAGGCTGTAGAGAGAGAAGAGGGGGAGAGAAAATCAAAATCTTTCACGTTGTGGTGCTTGTCATTGAACACGATGTAAATTCTTTGAAAGAGAAGGAGCACTCCTATCTTTGGCAAGGATTGGGCACAAACTCAAACACATGTCTGAATTCAGACTTGCAGAAATAATGTCTCTGGAGACAGACTCTTTTGCCCGTCTATGAGTTCAAGCCCTTAACAGTGTTTCTTTGGAGGAAATGACTCAGTTCCTAGAGAGACCTTTTAGTGAATATTTTCCCTGTAGCATTTCCTAACTGCTACTAATCTCTTAAGTTGGAATGCCCTTCTCTCACATCCAGCTTTGAGAATGCCAGGAATATTTTTTTTCCAATGCAGGAGAAACTATTCTAGAGTCATCTAGAGATTTCCAAGTGTTGGATTTGGAGCCAGTCTGATTTGAGCCGGGCTCATAATTACTTGTGTGCCCTTACCTTTGTCATTTCTTCCCTGGTTCTCCTGTACACATGCATCAATGGAAGGACTAAGTAATGCTTAAGATCCATCTCAGCTCTTACATTCTAAAAGTCAGTGCAATTCTACCCCCATTCAATGATCAGATAAAGATCTGTATTTTCTGGAGTGCTCCTTATTCCTTCTTAACAGTATTTTTGTGTTCATTATTAGCTAAATGAAGAAACTTGGGAATGCATGGATTTAAGTTCCATTCCTAAAGGCAGCTTCTTTTGGGAAGGCAGAAAAGCAGCTTCTTTGTTTTTCTGATGATTTTAATGCATTTTTTATTGGCAGGTAAGTCAAATGACAGGATGATTTTATTCATTAGTTTGGATAAACCACAGATTGAATTTACCATCACTTTTGCTTTAATTAATTTAAAGCAAAATTAATTAATTTAATTTAAAGCAAAAGATCTACCACCACTTTTGCTTTAATTAATGGCCAGAGGATCTGTAAATTCAGGTCATAAAATGTTCTTTGCTGGTATTTCTTTCAGTGACTCCTACTCATTCTTACACCCATTCATGAGATTTAAAATATCATAATAAAGTATAATCCTTCATATGAGGACATTTGAGATTGCTGAAGGTGATGATGGACATTTTCTCTCGCTTACTTTTCTTTAACCCCTTTACCTGTGACCATGAAAAAATGATATTGATTCAGACTGTTGGATTGATTGACATGAATGTGTCCCTGCCAGGAAGTGTCTCACTCTTATCATTTATATGCCTCCTCCTAGATTCTTCCTTTGGGCCTCAATGTGGTATCTGAAAAAAAGGCTCTGTGGATGCTGAGGTTAGAGGAAACACAGGCAGTGAAAATTGATGTTGAGTCAGTCACGTTATTGCTCTAAGATCCATTAGCTAACTTCCTTGTGCCCCAACTTTTTTTTTTTTTTTAACCGATAAAATGAAGAGATTCCCCCTCGCTAAGGAGATTAACTAAAAATCATACTTTTAAAATGTTGAGCAAATTGCCTGGATCTTGCGTGATCAGTAAAAATTAGTTTTCCTTTTCTTCTCACAAAGCTCCTTTTCCTTCACTTCTTTCTGAGTAGAGCCATGCAGTTTTATGATTGATGGCAGAAATAAAGTGCACCTAAGAGATAGGCAGAGACCTGAGACCAAAATTTCCTCAAGAGAGGCAGTGGTGAGATTATGAGCTTATCTCCAATCCCCTGCTCCATGATTTACGATGTACTTGTAAGTGCTTGGAAAATCAGGTTGCCTATCCAAAGAAAGACCACGTGAAGAGAAGCAAAAAGAAATGTCTGCTGAGTGTTCTCTGAGTCTGTTTTCTCATCTGTAGCATGGGTAGATAGTTTCTGTCTTTTCTGCATCAGGAAATTAAATTATGAGGATCTAATGAGGTAAGGAATGTGAAAAACATCTCCCAAATGTAGAACATTCTAAAAAACATAATCCATTTTTACCTGGGAAAATCCACAAATACAAAATGAACCACACTGAAATAATGTGTCTTGACCTGAACAATCACAAATCCTCCTACAAACCAGAAGCAAGACTGTGAATTTAAGTTACACCTGTTCTGGTGTCAGAACTGAAACCAGTAGACCTCAACAGGTGAAATGTGACAGATGAGCAGTTTCCTCTTATGACTTTTAGCCAGTAACTTAACCCAAACTCCTTAATTCTCAAAGTTCCCTTTTAAGAAAAAAGAAAAACAAAAAAGCTATTTCTAAATGTGAGTCAGGAAAATAATTCAGCTGAAAGCTGGACCCTGGACCCTAGTAGGTGCTATAAGCCATAACTTATGAAAGATAGTCACTCATAATTCATGCTGTAATGGGTGACAAGGACTATGGCTTGCTAACATAGCAATGGGTATTAGGAAAACCAGTCCTTGCTATTCCTCCAGCACAAGTTCAATTCTGCCTCAGGGTCTTTGCACACACTGTGCTCTCTACTGAAGCTCTCTTCCCAGATTCTCACATGGCTTCTCCTTCACTTCAGTGAGGTCTCTGATGGTCAGAGAGGCCTTACCTTACCATTTTATCCAATAGAACAACCTCTTATCATTCTTTAGCCCACTGGTTATCCAAACATTGTCCTCCCTCTAGCAGTATGAGTATCACCTGGGAATTTGTTTGAAATGAAAATTCTGATCCCCTACTTAAGAATGCTGAATCAGAAACCTTGGAGGATGGGGCCTAGAAATCTGGATTTTAACAAATCTTCCGTGTGATTCTGATGCAAGTTGAAGTTTAAGAACCACTACTTTAGCCCTTTACTCTGTTGTACTACACAGTCCTTATTACCAGCTGACATTATATTAACTGTTTGTTTCTTCTCAGATTTATTGTCCAGCTCCGCTGCTGGAATACAAGCTCTGTATTGGAGCTTAATTATGAGAGGGTATGTACAGTC